GGTTTTCTTAACTCCTAAGTTATGTCGAGTAGACCTTGTTCTTGCTATAATTCTTAATTCAAGCGTTGTAGGGGGGGATTTATGTCACCACAAACAGAAACTAAAGCAAAGGTTGGGTTCCAAGCTGGTGTTAAAGATTATAAATTGACTTATTATACTCCTGAATATCAAAACCAAAGATACTGATATCTTGGCAGCATTCCGGAGTAACTCCTCAACCAGGAGTTCCGGCTGAAGAAGCAGGTGCAGCGGTAGCTGCAGAATCTTCCACTGGTACATGGACAAACTGTGTGGACCGATGGACTTACCAAGCCTTGATCGTTATAAAGGACGCTGCTACGAGATAGAGCCTGTTCCTGGAGAAGATAATCAATTTATTGCTTATGTAGCTTATCCCTTAGACCTTTTTGAAGAAGTTTCTGTTACTAACATGTTTACCTCCATTGTAGGTAATGTATTTGGGTTCAAGGCTTCGTCTGGAAGATTTGCGAATCCCTAATGCTTATGTTAAAACTTTCCAAGGTCCTCCTCACGGAATCCAAGTTGAGAGAGATAAATTGAACAAGTATGGACGTCCCCTATTGGGATGTACTATTAAACCAAAATTGGGTTTATCCGCTAAGAATTATGGTAGAGCAGTTTATGAATGTCTCCGCGGGGGACTTGATTTTACCAAAGATGATGAAAATGTGAACTCCCAACCATTTATGCGTTGGAGAGACCGTTTCTTATTTTGTGCCGAAGCAATTTATAAATCACAGGCCGAAACAGGTGAAATCAAAGGACATTATTTGAATGCTACTGCGGGTACATGTGAAGAAATGCTAAAAAGAGCTGTATTTGCTAGAGAATTGGGCGTTCCTATCGTAATGCATGACTACTTAACAGGTGGATTCACTGCAAATACTACCCTGTCTCACTATTGCCGCGATAATGGTCTACTTCTTCATATCCACCGTGCTATGCATGCAGTTATCGATAGACAAAAAAATCATGGTATGCACTTTCGTGTATTAGCTAAAGCCTTACGTATGTCTGGTGGAGATCATATTCACGCTGGTACTGTAGTAGGTAAACTTGAAGGAGAGAGGGAGATTACGTTAGGTTTTGTTGATTTACTACGTGATGATTATATTGAAAAAGATAGAAGTCGCGGTATTTATTTCACTCAGGATTGGGTTTCTTTACCAGGTGTTATCCCTGTTGCTTCAGGGGGTATTCACGTTTGGCATATGCCTGCTCTGACCGAGATATTTGGAGATGATTCTGTACTCCAATTCGGTGGAGGAACTTTAGGACACCCTTGGGGAAATGCACCTGGTGCCGTAGCGAATCGAGTAGCTCTGGAAGCATGTGTACAAGCTCGGAATGAGGGACGTGATCTTGCTCGCGAGGGTAATGCAATTATCCGTGAAGCTTGCAAATGGAGTCCTGAATTAGCTGCTGCTTGTGAAGTCTGGAAGGAAATCAAATTTGAATTCCCAGCAATGGATACTTTGTAATCCAGTAATAATCATTCGTTCTATTAATTTCCATTAAACTCGGCCCAATCTTTTACTAAAAGGATTGAGCCGAATACAATACACAATACAAAAATACTTGTTGTATCTAGAATGAATCCTATAGATCTTTCGGATTGATCTATTTTTTTTCTAGTTCATTCTTCTTTTTTGATTTGGAATAGAATGAATTAAAATAGAAATATTTTCTATTTAAAAATGAGAATAGAAATATTTTTTTATTTGTTTTCTCGATTGTATTCTTTTTTTCAACACTAATATTGACAACAGTGTATCAAACAAATATAATCTGATCGTGAATCAATGGATGGATTGACTCATGTCACATAGGTTTTTTTACTTCATCAAATGGTGGATTCATTGTATTTTGATTTTGTTTGATACAAACAAGAAGTTTTTTTTCTTGAAATAGAAATATGAAAAAAATAATACTAATTTAAAACTATATTAATAGACAAATAACTACAGTACTGTACTAAACAAGTCGTCTATCATTTTTGATTCTCATTTTTTCTTTTTTTCATTGTATTGTAATATAATGTAATATGTAACATTTGATTCTATTATTTATAGAATTCCATCTTTTTTTTATTGCGATTGGATATACAGATCCTTGTTTGTAATTTTATTAGGGTTGCTAACTCAATGGTAGAGTACTCGGCTTTTAAGTGCGACTCCATTTTTTACACATTTCTATGAACTAATTGGTTCATCCATACCATCGGTAGGGTTTGTAAGACCACGACTGATCCAGAAAGGAATGAATGGAAAAAGCAGCATGTCGTATCAACGGTGAATTCAAAAAATTTTTCATTCATATTGGATCCGACCAATCTTTTTCTTTGAATTGTTGGCTGGGAACAAATGAATTCCGTTGGGTTGAATTAATAAAGGGATAGAGCTTAGCTGCTCGAATTCTAGGGAAAGAAAAAGCAACGAGCTTTCATTTTTTATTGGAATGATTACCACATCTAGTTATACGTTAAAAAAGGATTAGTGCTTGCTGTGGAAAAAGTTTTTCCCACGAATGGATTAAGGATTTTTGTTATGAGTCCTAATTATTAGCTATTCCCCATTATGTTATGGGGTAGCAAGAAATGTGTAGAAGAAAGAGTATATTGATAAAGATATTTTTTTCCAAAATCAAAAGAGCGATTGGTCCCCAAAAAATAAAGGATTTCTAACTAGCTTGTTGTCCTAGAAAAATTAGAAGGAACAAGCGAGGGGAGATAGTCCATTAATGTGTTTTAACTCGTTTTCTAGGTATCTATTCATATTTGTTTTTTATTTCAATTCGAATATAGATATAGAATACCTTGTTTTGACTGTATCGCACTATGTATCATTTGATAATCCAATGAATCTCTGATCCTTTGACCAAATATCATTTCTAAAATGAAGGAATATAAAGTCTATTTAGAACGAGCTAGATCTCGCCAACAGCACTTCCTATACCCACTTATTTTTAGGGAGTATATTTATGGACTTGCTTATAGTCATAATTTGAATAGATCCATTTTTGTGGAAAATATAGGTTATGACAAGAAATATAGTTTACTAATTGTAAAACGGTTAATTACTCGAATGTATCAACAGAATCATTTAATCATTTGGGCTAATGATTCTAACAAAAATCCATTTTGGGGGTATAAGAATAATTATTATTCTCAAATAATATCAGAGGGTTTTGCCATCGTCGTGAAATTCCATTTTTCCTACAATTAAGCTCTTCCTTAGAGGAGGAAGAAATCATCAAATCTTATAAAAATTTGAGATCAATTCATTCCATTTTTCCCTTTTTGGAGGATAAATTGACATATTTGAATTATGTGTCAGATATACGAATACCCTATCCTATCCATCTGGAAATCTTAGTTCAAATCCTTCGATACTGGGTGAAAGATGCCCCTTTTTTTCATTTCTTACGGCTGTTTCTTTGGAATTGGAATAGTTTTATTACTACCAAAAAATCAATTTCTACTTTTTCAAAAAGTCATCGAAGATTCTTCTTGTTCCTCTATAATTTTTATGTATGTGAATAT